TAGAAAGTTTGCAACGACTAATACAATATTTTCTGTGTTAATTTTCTTTACATTTTTATTTTGAACATTTTTCAACGGTACTAAATAACAACTTTTTCTATCAATTCCCTCCATCTCATTTCATTACCTCACCATCTCAATTTTTCCCTCTAAACCATCATATATAATATTTCAATCTCTTCATTCCCTATTCTCTTTTACTATACCATAGATGACAATAATTGTAAAAAAATTTTTAGACCAACAAATTCTCGAAGCCATTCAATTTTCTCTATTCCCTTTTTCAAAACACTCCAAATTTTTAAATGTCTCACTGAATCTCCAAGATGCACTTAATTTCCAAATCCAATTAAGTTCAGTGAGTTCTCTTTTTTAATTAAACAGAGAGGGTAGGAAGACGTTCAGGTTCCAACTAGTATAAAAAAAACTCAAGGGTCTACCCAAGAGGTAAATTTTTATACCAGCCAGTGCTAGATGGTATAATGCACCCAAGGGGTCTACCCAAGAGATGGGCATCCATACCACCTAGTTCCCTAGTTTCTCCCTTCTTTGATTTATTCATTAATTAAATGATAAGCGTCAATTACATCATACAAGACGAGATCTAAAGTAAGGGAAGGACGATAGATTTAGAATTAATAGCACTTTTACACATCTAGGCAAAGTATCAAAAGAAATATAAATCTCTGAAGATCCTGATGATGCCTTCTTGGCCAGCATATCAGCAACAGCATTTGCCTCTATGTATATATGTGTAATGGTAAACCCATTACTTTGCAATATAGAAGAAATCTCTTGCATCTGTAAAAAATACCGCCAAGGAAAAATTGAACCCTTTTCCAAAGAATCTGCCAAGCATTTATTATCTGTTTGGACAATAACATTAGACAAGCCCATATGTTCACATTTTCGTATACCAAAAAGAACACCATACACCTCAGCCATGAAGCTGTCACCACCTCCCAAATAGCCGTTCTCTCCATAAAGAAAAGAACCCCCTGCACCTCTAATTACAAAGCCATATCCTGTCTCATGTAAGCTTGATGATCCATCAGTGTTAAGGATGAAAGAATTAAACGGAGGAGGACTCCATTTAACCTGAAGAACCCTAGGCCGAATCATACGACTTAAAGTGACATTAAAAGCAGCTACAAAGAAAGATTTTTCAGATTCATTTCTTATTTTAAGATTATGAATCATCATCAAAGATCGTACCTGGTCAACAATATTCCGTATAACCTTAGCCAAGCAAGGAGCAATACCTTCATAAATCACCTTATTCCGACACTTCCATAGCTCCCAAATAATAAGAGATGACAAAAGCTTCCTCAATGCTCCGCAAGCAGCCTTAAAATCACCACCTTTCCACCATCTATCAAGTATTGCTGGCAGCAAAGAAATTCCCATCATATTAATTCCAACAATCGCGGAAAAATGCCGCCACAGCTGCATTGCAAATTGGCAACCACAGAAATAATGTAAGACACTATCTCCGGCATTCCTACAAACAAGAAAAATAGCCGGATAAACAATAATTCCCATTTTCCCTAAGACTTCTGGAAAAGGCAATAATCTATTGCGCAATTTCCATAGAAAAACCGAGATCCTCAAAGGAGTGAAAGAATTCCAAAAATTCTTAGCCCATCTCTCCAATTCCCTTTTAGGCCGAATGACTTCATAAGCCGACTTGACCATTAGCTCTCCATTAGGTGTATGCTGACACACCAATAAATCATCATTCTCATTATTATCATCTAGAAAATCCTGATCAAAAGTCACAAGGAAATCGCAAATGTTGCCTCCAAGGACTCCTTGCAATTCAAGAAGTATAGCTTGCTTGTCTTGAAAGAAGCCACGTATGGTCAAGTTTGGAAGGGGCGGCTGAGCATCCTCTCCATCCCAAAGGATTCCAAAAGGGCTCCAATTATCAAACCAAAAAGATTTATCACCTCTCCTTATGACAACTTTTGTATGCTGCATAACCCTAGCGCCAACATTAGAGATTCGCTGCCAAGAAGTTTTTTTCCTTGCTGCCAAAGCCGAAGAAAAAATAAATTTACTCCAAATTCCTCTCCTATGCTTCAATTTCCACCATAGCTTGACCATTAAAGCATCAATAAACCCCTGAAAATTACGAAAACCCAACCCGTTTTCCTGAACCGGAAATGAATGCCTTTCCCACGAATGCCAATGTCTTTTCCTTTCCTCACTTGAACCAGCCCAAAAAAACTTCTAACAATGCTTCTCAATGTTTTGGAGGACTAATTTTAGATGAGGAATTGATGAAAAAACATGAACCGAAATTGAAGCAAGTACATGTTTTATAAGAATCAATCGACCTCCTTGACTAAGGAGCTTATTCTTCCAACTCAACAACCTCTTGTCAATGCTATCTAGTAGGAACTGAAAAGTGGATGATTTTTGCCGTCCTTGATAGAGTCTACAGCTGAGGTAAACAAAAGTGAATGATCCCTTTTGGATTCCTAGGGTTTGCTGGATTAATGCCACCCCCCTTGCACTACAATTTTCGGAAACCAAGAATGTGCTTTTTTGACGACTAATTTTATGCCCGGAAGCATCCTCTAGCACCTGTAATGATCACTTCAACCCCCTGGAATAAATGGTAACATCATCCCCAAAAGTAAGATGCGAAACCGGCATCGAACCACTAGGTGTTCCATAGTGCACGACCTTCCCGACTGCTACAAGAGATTTCAAGCTTCTTGTCATGGCTTCAGAAACGAGAATAAATTGCTTGATACCCCTTGATGATTGAAAAAAGCCAACCGGTGCTCCATTGAGCAAGACAGAAAACCAACTCTGTCACAAATTAGTCATAATCAAAGAGACAAAGGGCTGCGGAAAACCAAATTTAAGCAAAACTTTTTCCAAAAATCTCCATTTTATGCAATCAAAAGCTTTCATCACGTCAAGCTTCAACGCAAAATTTCCCCCCTCTACCTTGTGATTCAAAAAATTGACACAAGTCCTGAGCCAATAACACATTGCCCATAATATCCCTTCCCTCCAAAAAGGTCGATTGATCATCAGAGATTACCTTAGGCAAGACTACCTTTAATCTCTCTTTAAGGATCTTGGTGAAGATTTTGTTCAAAAAAGTACATAAAATCCGAAAAACTTGTAACACTAACCTTCTTAGGAATAAGAGTGATTAATGTACTTGTAATGGACTTTGACATAGGAACTCCCATCATACATTCTTGACACGCAACCCATAAATCATTTGAAATTATATCCCAGCAACTTCTATAAAAGTATCCACCAAAACCGTCAACTCCCGGCGCACTATCTTCACTCAAGCTCAAAACAGCCCCCTTGACTTCCTCAATGGAGAGAGGCCGCAACAATGCTTCACTATCACCTTCATTCACCAAAAGAGGTATATTCTCCAAGAATGTGGCTTGCTTATTCTCACAACGGAGAGTATCACTATCATCCTCTAAAAGACCCTTGAAGAATCGAATAGCTTCTTGCCCAATCTCAGCCATATTCTCCAACATTCTTCCATCCGAAGCTTGAATTTTAAATAACCCTTGCTTTAATCTTCTTTGTCTCAATGAGGCCTGAAAGAAAGAAGTATTTGAATCCCCTTCCTTCATCTACTTCAATTTCATCTTTTGAGACCAAAAATCATCATGCTCCTTTAATCTAAGCAACAACTCCACCTTAGCAACTTGCAAGCTCACTCTATCTTGGTCATTCCCAGAAGTATCAAATACATTTTCCAGCACTTGCACTTTATTTTCAGCCTCTCGCAAATTGGCAAAGACATCACCAAAAGTCTCCTTATTCTATTCCTTCAACTTGGCCTTTAATCGTTTGAGTTTTAGGGGAAATCCAACCATACCGGAAACCTCCAAAGGCAGCTCCCAAATCTCCTTCACAAGATTCTTAAAATCTAATTTTCGCAGCCACATTTTTTGAAAACGGAAGATCCTTGGCTTGCTATGAACATTAACATGAAACTTATGAAGCATAGGACAATGATTCGAAGTGGTTCTACTAATATTTTCTAGAGAAGAGGTTGGAAACAAATCATGCCATTCTTGCGAAATTAAAACTCTATCAAGTTTCTTGCTCACCCAACCCGTTTGTCGTGTTCCTCCCCATGTAAAAACCTCACCAACCGCCGGCACTTCCATGAGATCACATTCAAGAATGTACTCATTAAATTCAGTCATTGCCATCGGATCTTGAACCGAATTTCCAGAGTATTCATCCAATGAGCGAATTACATTAAAGTCCCCCCGATCGTCCAAGGAGTACCTGGATATTTCAATCTGAAGTCCATCATATTCTGCCATAAAAATCGGCTTTCATTCCTAGTAGACTTCGCATACACCACAGAAAGCAGAAATTTCCCGGGAACCGTACCACATGAAGCCTCAAAATGCAGCACTTGATCATTATTTTCCAGCAAATATAACGTGAGTCCGTTTCTACAAAAACACCCAAATTTTACTTGAGCTTGAGGAAAAAGCCGACTCAAAACCCAACTCCCGCCGTATACTAGCAAGCTGATAACTCGGTAGCATAGGCTCAAGAATAAAAAGAACCGAAACCTTATTCATCATACACAAAAGCTTCAAGCGACGCTGCGATGCTTGATTTTTGATACCTCTAATATTCCATATTAATTGACTAATCATGGAAAAATTAAAAAGGGTAACCGGGACTTATTCTTGAAGGCGAGGTGATCGCCTAGGGACCACCCCTTCTTGCATCAATGCTTTTTCGGCTTTGGATTTCCGACCATGCTTCTTAAGCACCGACTCTTCCCCTTGCACTGAATCTTCTGCTTGCGCGTTGTCGTTATCACCATCAGACCAACTACTGTGCTCATAATCACCAAGCTCATTGGCAGCCGAAACCCTGCCAACTTCACTATCATCCATAGACCGTTCAATCTGCAGTTGAGACTCACTGTCCATCACCGGCAGAGGCAACTGAAAATGCTCAACACGGGGTTGTAGAGGAGGCTATTGTTCAACAAAAACTTCCTCAATAACTTTTTCTTCATCAATTGTTACAAGCTCACTGTCGCCTTCATCGATTGTCTCCAAAATAGCAAACCGATTAGGCATTGACGATGGAGCTGTTGTAGCTGGGATATCCATTGGAATGATGCTCTTCTTCGTTGTAGACAATCCAGAAGTCGACTCCTCCAAGTGCACTCCAACAACATTCGTAGCAGGGTCTCGTGAAGGAGAATGCACTTCTTCCTCGCGTGCGACTAGGGTTTGCGGAGGGGGTGCGACTCCCCTTCTCGAACGCCTAGGGTTTCTTCCACCGCGGGCTTCTCAACCGGCCTTTGTAGCACAATGGGACGGCTTTTAACTCCCTTAACAATCAAAGGGTTGTCATTCAGAATCATTGCAGTCGAAGTAGGGGCTGTAGTCTTCTCCCCATCTCCCTTGAGTAACAATTTCGGCTCACGGTTTGGGATTTTGATACCTTTCTCCTTCGGGGCTGGATCAACTATGGTTTTCCGATTATCTTGCTTTTTTGGTGATGGCTTTCCTTGACGACAATCCTCCTCCTTATGTCCTATCTTGGAGCATTTCAAACAATAAGAAGAAACATGCTCAAATGTGAATAATTGTTCATGCTTTCGGCCATTTTTTCCAATCTTCACCGACTTCGGAAGTTCCTTGGTGAGATCAATCTCAACACAAAATCTTGCAACCGATGGCCTTGTCATATTCAAGGTAGGTGCATCCACCTTCAAAGGCTTACCTAGTGCCGTAGCCATGGAAAATATGACCTCCGGATGCATAAACTCAATTGGCAAATCAAAAAGGGAAACCTATATAGGTACAACCGGGGGGTCTTCTTCAAAGAGAAATCCGGGTTTCCACTTCAAGATCCTCATAGAAAATCCTCCAATATTCCAGAATGTTCTAATCCAACATATCTGGTAATTGTCTTCTTGTTCAAACCGAATCAAAACGTGCCTTGGGTTCATGAGGCCCAAGGTATACCCTCCATTGAAGCCAATCTTCTTGAATTCATTATGGACCTCCTCCATCTTCAAACTTATCATCTTCATACTCCAAAGTAGGAGTGCCATTCACAAACTTCACTTGTTTGATAAGTGAGTCACCATTTGCTTCATTTTCAGTAGGTTTTTGAAAAAAGCTAGCGAATGTCCGTGGCAGCTGGGTCGCCGGAGGAGAAACGCCGGCCATATTGGCCGTGGATGATGGCTAGCCGTCAAGCTAGTAGGGTTTCGGTAGAGAGAACTAGGGGTAGTTTAGGAAACGGGATACCATATCCACTGAATGCCGTTAAGTTCAGTGAGTTCTCAATACCCACTAAATTTTCAAAACCTTCTACAATTTTCAAGGTATACCAAATATCCAAACTCAACAAAAGTTCCAAAATGTCTCAATTTTCCCTACCAAATTCCTGCATACTAATCCTATAAATTAAAACATGACGAGACTCCATAATCTCGACTTCACTAAGGAGATGCAAAGTTGGGCACATCTATATCGGACACTCAAACTCCAAGATATTCAACACAACCAAGAGTTGAAGACATCACAATTAGGGGTGTAAACAAGCCGGGTTGAGCCCGAATTTACCCTTGTTCGAACTCGAACTTGACTCTATCTAGGCAAACTCGAGTTCGGCTCGAGCTCGTTCAAGCCACAAAAATTTACGCTTAAACTCGGCTCGTCATATAGCACTAAGCTCGAGTTCAGCTCGACGAAACTCGAAAAGTAAATAACCTTTTCGACAAATAGACTCCAAACAGCAGAGGTTTATCCAGATCCAAAAGTCAGAAACAGAAGAGATTCTTTGAAGAAATCCAGATTGAATCAATCAACCAAAAAGGATATTATTTGAATAAACTTTCAATCAAGGAAAATCCACTAAAGAATTGAATCAACCAACCAAAACCATAGGAGATTATACTTCAATAAATCCCATTGGCCAGTAATATAGGGGAAAAAATTGACTCAAAGCTTATGAAAACTCTGAAATTTGATTGAGAAAAATCCTTCAAATATTTGCATATGGGGTCTCTGATGCGTCAGATTTGATTGAATCAATAGAAGAATTTTTTAGGCAGTAAGGGAGGAGAAAGGGTCATCGAGCAATACTCACTAGATCCAATCACAAAACTTGTTTTTAAAGGTAATCACATCCATTCTATTAATCTAATCTTCTATATGAATGACAAGAAATTAACAAAACTTGTTGGAATTGGATTTGCCTGGCTTTGTGGAATGAGATTCGAGAGAGAAAGGGTAGAAAAGAGAGAGGAGAGAGAGAGAGCCTGGGTAAGAAGGAAAAAAGTTACCTTTTATATATATTATTAATAAATTAAAAATTGAATCGAGTGGAGCCGACGAACAAGCTTTAACCAAACTTGAGATTGGCTCGTTCAATAAACAATCCAGCTCTAGATCGATACGAACTCGATCAAACTGAGTTCGAACCAAGTTTTGACCGAGCCGTTTCATGAATAACTCATGAGTGGCTCGGTTTGTTTACAATCCTAATCACAATCGATGAATAGACAGAATACAGCAGTAAGAAAAAGGGTCAAAGAAAAGTGAATAATACGAAGAAATAAAGCGTTGACAATGAAGAGGACTTGCCTAAAGTTTGACACCATTTTTGGAACGACTTGCCTAATATTACAATCATAACCATAGGTCTGGACCTGCAAGGGAAAGAGACAATATCAAATATCATTTTATAATAATTAATTATTTAATGTTTTGCTAATATTAATTTGAATTTGTTCATGTTACAGAGTGTTACTCCACTACTTGCTTGCTTGCTTGCCTTTGTTCCGCTTTTACTCGCTCCATTTATAAAGCAACCTCAACTTGTAGCAATTTGACGTTGAGTGATGATATTAGTGTAATTATAAGTAGTGATGTTCACGGACCGGATTGGTCCGGATTACTATAAATTCGTAACCAAACCGTTACTTACGGTTTTTAAATTTTTCAAACTGGAACCGAACCGAATTGATATTTAAACTGGACCAGTCCAAACCGTTTCGAACGGTTTGGTTTGGACGATTTGGCAGTCTGGGCTTCTAATTGGGCCATAAATTGAACATTTTTTGTTATTGGATTTTTTTCGACCTTTTTTGGGGGGCTTTTTTCTGGGCTTTCCCTGGGTTTTGGGAGAAAAAAAAAAAGGAAAATGATACTTTCAGTGAAATAATATAGTGATAAAACATAGTGACTCATGTGTACCTCCTATTTTGTTGGCACTTTGCCGTTGAAATTTTTTCTTTCCCTCTAAAATTATCCTTTTACCCTTAATTACTATAGACACATCAGTCACTATGTATTTTCACTATTTTTTCTCACTACTTGTATCATTGCTCAAAAAAAATTGAGTTCATAGGGAGGGACTCGAACACAAGACCTCCAAAAAATATAAAAGTAGGGAGAATAACATTGCCAATGTAAAAACTTAACATTTGTGATATAAACCATCATCCGCTAGTATATATATAAAAACCATTATATTACTATTTAATAATATATATATATATATATACACGGTCTGGTACGGTTTAACAGACGGTTTGATAGTGCCAAACCATAATTTGGACCGTTATGAATAGTTTTCAATTTTCATATCTATCGATTTAAAATTTCAATTAAAAACCATCCGCTAATCGAAACCGATGATCGGTTAGGACGGTTCTACCCGTTTGAGCCAAACCATGAACACCCCTAATTATAAGTATAAGATTAGGAAGGGACTTTTTTTTTCAATATATAGTAAATCATCGTTTGGACTCAATTAGCACACGATATTTCCAGAGACTCAATCAGCACACGATATTTCAAGAGTGTTTTTCTTGTCCAATTTCTTCCAATAAAAGTAAATTCACATTATCATACCATATTGGTAAAGTACTATTAACCTTTGTAGATGATCTAATTAAAAATTCATTTAATCTTGGCCTAAGTAAAGTTTTATAACACATCCATGCTAAAAACGTCACACTTTTTTTTGATGACATCTTACTTTACAGGAAAGATAAAATGGATACATGAAATGTTTGAACACTGATATATTAATAGTCAAGAGAGGAGATACTATTAGTTGGATACTTTATATTTATTATTTCTTGTTCAGTGTGTCTGGTTTTATGTGTGGTTTTATGCCATTGTAAACAACAATAGTAGGAATTGAATCCAAACTAATAGAGCACAATTTAATTTATTGACTAAATTTAGTAAGTGCTCATCTTATTTGTGTTCTTCTTACTCATAGGAGTAATAATTATGTTTTATAATGTAAATATCTTGATCTTATACAAAAAAATAACATATATATGGAAAATGATAAGTGTAGTGACTATATAAAGTGAAAATAAATAGTGACTGATTTGACCCACTATTTTGTATCATTTTCTCGTAGAAATTATATCTTTTCTTTTAAAAATTATATTTCCACCCTTAATTAGCAAATACACATCAGTCATTATTAGTTTTCACTATATTTTTTCACTGGCTCTATCATTGCTCTATATATATATATGTCCATTTATGTTATTTTCTGTTTGAGAAACAATGTGTATGAATTTCAATGAGTTTCAGTAGATTTTTTTTTTTTTGAAAGAAATGTTTCAGTAGATTATTACTAGGCATCATGTCACATACTGGGCGGTTAAAAAAAAAAGATAAAAATATAGGATTTGATTGTAATATTTCTGTTAATTGTAGTTTGGCCGGATTTGTATAAATACTTCCGGAATCTGATGTTATCATTATCGAATGAATATTGAATGAAATCTGAAGTCTGTTTTCTCTCTCAAACTCCTCCCCCAATTCTTGTTCATCTGTTTATCTTCCTCCGGCCAATTCTGGCCATTCTTCTCTCTATTCCGGTCTCGAAATTTATCGATAATTCACTCTAATTCCCCGGTACCTGACACATCACCCGTTTACGCAAGCCCAGGTTCATTGATGTCTATTATGTACTCAAAGAGCCCAATCTGAACTATTAGAGAGCCCAACATATTTTTCACCTAAGCCTTAGGGATACCTATCTTAAGCCCACAAGCCCATCCAATCACTCCTCATTAGGGTTTTTCTTCTTTCTTCTCTACCCTACAAAAGCTCTCACGGCCACGATTAAACCTGAAACCTCCGCCTTACACGCAGCACACCAAGAACACGCACTAAGAAAACCAGATCGAGAATGGGTGTGTTCACATTCGTTTGCAAAAAATCCGGAGGCGAATGGAGTGGAAAGCAGATCACCGGAGACGTTGAGGCTTCGGCAGCCTCCACTTACGAGCTACAGAGGAAGCTCGTCCACGCCGCCAAAGCCGCCGACTCTTCTGGTGGAGTCCAGTCCTCATTCACCCTTGTCACACCCAGCTCTGCCGTCTTCCAGGTTTGTAACCCTTTCACTGATTTCCCTTGAATTTCTTTTCTTTTTCGCGATTCTGATTAATCCGGGGTTTTCGTTTTGATGAGAGGTTTATAAGTGACGAAGGGTTTTCATTATGATTGGAATTATAAGATTATGATAAATTATAACGGGGGTGTTTCAAGATAACGGATGGATAGCTTTATTTTGGTAAAGTTCTGTTTGATTAATTTGGGAATCTGAAATTAAGGCTGCTGTTATTTGACAGTGGTGTACTGCCTAATATGATGTTTTGCCCTGATACTTTAGGTTTGAAAGGGTTAAATTTTAGCTTGGATTTGAGTTTTGTGCTAGAATTTTGCATCATCGGTGCTATTTCTTTCAATTTGTCTATTGTTCTTAAATATCAGGTTCACTGAAAGTATGGTGTGATTTGAATATGATAGCTGCAATAGATCAAGCATTTTGTATCCAAATCCATATTAAGGGCATAAATAGTGAACACTGAAAGTATGTGAAGGTTATTTCTTAATCATTGTTTCGGTGTGGTGAAGGTTTTCCTCTGTTTTGCTGCTTCTATTTGTAGATTTGCACTGTAATTTTAGCTCAGTTGATGATTGTATCTATTGTCTGAAGCGCAGCTGATGATTGTATCTATTGTCTGAGGACTTTTGTTAATTGTTTATTGCCTACTCAGAAATCTTTTGTGTTCTCCAATCCATTGTCATTTTTTGTCTGGAAATCACCTTAACCCTGTGGTGGAATTTGTGGGAAATTGATGTAAACATCCTAATGTTGCTGTAATTGAACCATGCAATTCTGATTGATACAGGTTATCATTGGCGGATGCAGTGGTGGTGGTTTCATTGGTGGCGGAGCAGCTGCTGCTGCTGCACCTGCTGGTGGTACCGCTGCTGAAGCAGCCCCTGCCAAAGAAGAGAAGAAGGAAGAGAAAGAAGAGAGTGAAGACGAAGACATGGGATTCTCTCTCTTTGACTAGGTTGGGTATCTTTAAACATAGGGCAATATTGTTTTTAGGGAACATCTTTGGAGTATGGATGTGTATGTCTTTTCTTTGTTAAAGTTTTGGTAGTATGGATGGATTCTATGATTTTCAAGATGATACTACTATGTTAAACCGCCATGACGTTTCTTCCAAGAAGTTTGAGCTTTTAAATTCGCGTTCTAGCTATTAGTTTCTATGATATTAAAAGACCATGAGCCATTGTTTTGTTTCTTTTAAGATCACATCGGCATCCTTGAAGCCTAGTTTATCAGTGTAGATTAAATCTCAAGGTTGCCATTTTAGAGGACTCAATTACATCAAGCATTTGGTGTCTCCTATATGATTATTTGTTCTCTATGATTAGAAGTTTAGCAGAACCAGAACCACTTAAATCCTTTAGCAGGGTCTCTGCAATCAAAAAGAGATTAGCATGCCAAGATTACGTGTATGAAGATTCATTTGTTTATTTTACGTAAATAGAAGATTACAAACAAAAACAAGAACTTTGCTTCCTTGAAGGTGGTCACCCATTTTCTAATCTCTATGGACACAACTTCACCATCTAATGTAAGTGCTACTACTTGCGTATTTCCCATACTGTCCCTAAGCTCCCATGGAAAGCAGAGTACACATCTTAATATGTAAGGGAAGAGTACAGATACTAAGGAAACCTCTATATTTGTAAGCGCTGAATAGGCTCCAGGACAGCTTACTTCTTCAGACGACCAGATCCAAACGGGATGAGTTCAAAATGTTGTCCTCTGATCACATCTATACTACAATTGTTTACAAATCTCTCGGTTTGAACTTTAATGTGATTTTCTAGGTCAAATCAACACCTCGATGCTTCTTTAAGCTTAATCAACAGATGATTATATCATTCTTTGTTGATTCAGGCCAGCCTTTCTGGATTCAGGTGCTCCTCAGCGCTTAATACAATTCATGGAAATTCTCATCAAGACGTGAAAGTATTCCAAAGAGTTTTATCAATCCAACTTAAAAGATGGAAAATAATCAGACAAATAGAAAAGGCTGCCAACAAGTTCTCTCAGTACCTCCTAAAACTTCGTGGCCACTTCTCTTCTAGTCGTTAGGGACACAATTGTCGACGATCCATAGGAAGGAAGTTTTGAGAGGAACGCTAAAGTATGATCTCTATATGACTACAAGCTACAATGTAACATAATCTCCACGACTGAGCTAATTAATACTTTTTCATAAAACATAGACAAATCTTAAAGCTATAGAGACGATGGTAATATATATATATATATATATATATATATATATATATAATTCTTACAAACACCTAAACTATTACATATGTGAGTCTGGGAAAGGGGATCTACTACTAGCCTAGTCTAGTGAGGGACGACTCCATGCCTGCACGTCTCTTTACGCGCGTCCATCAGGTACTTGAAGAACTTTTAACTGCAACCTGCAAAGAAAGACAGCATTTTACTGTCGTGGGATTTCGAACCCGGGATCTCCGGATTAGATGCCTAGCCCTTTACCACTGGGGCCATCCCTTTTTGGCATATTCACAAAAAATGTTCACTTTATTCCAAAAGAATTGTCCAATTTGAGTTTAATTTGTACAATTTAAACTAAAACTAAAAATTTAAACGTATTGAACAGTTATTTTGAGACAAAGTAATTTAAGAATATAAAAATACCAAATAACCAATATCTTTATATTTCAAATATATTTCTGTCTTTTTATACATCCTATTCCATGTGTGCAATATTTCTCGTTTCAACATGTAGTTTTACTTAGCTCGATACTTTTGCTATTAAAAATACATGCCTAATTCCTTCAAGGTCTTGAAAGCCCAAATATAGGTCCACATGTGATTCCACCTTAAAACTAATTAGTGATAAGAGGAGTAGCACATGTGGTTATATATTGGTTACAAAACTCTCCATCTATTTATGTGGAACAAAGGAACTTGGGCATATCTCAATATAATATTCTCAACACCCCCCTCTCAAGTTGGACATATCGGATAAATTATCAGATCAGTAAAGGCCCAAATATAACTGGGTAAGCAGAAGAAATAGAAATAGAAGACCCAGATTTGGATAAGAGGAAGAAGTAAAAATAGAATGCCGAAATTTGGGTAAATAGAAGTATAAGGCCCAAACGGTTAAGTAAATCAGACCCTGAATATAACTGTCGGGTCAGTCAAAACCCGTCCCACAAGTCACACAGGTCCGCGAATAAAATTTGCTCTGATACCATCTTGAAGACCCAAATATAGGTCCACATGTGGTTCCACCTTAAAACCAATTAGTGATAAGGGGAGTAACATATGTGGGACAAAAAAAACTTGGGCATATCTCAATATAATAGATTAGTAACTTTAACATAATATAACATGTGCTTTTATAAAAAAAAAAAAAAAAACACAAGTAACTAACTTTTGTGTAACATTCATATGTATATGTCCCAGTCTATATATCATATCAAACTCTTGTTAGGGTACCTTTTTTTTTTTGGGGGTGAAAAGCAAATATAGTCAGAATACATTGAGGTTAGGCACCTCGATCAAAAGCCAAACATAGGGTACGTTTATACTCAGTCTTTTGACGAAGAGCAAATATACTCTTGTTAGGGTACGTTTTTAATTAGTCTTTTGACGGGTTTAAGCCAACAAATATTAAATTCCGTGTACATAGTGCCAACTTGGTCCCTTCCTTTTTTGTCTCGTTGATCTTACAAAATAAGATAAAACATCTAAAAATGTAATTACACAATAGCGTTACCAGAATAAGCCATTTAAATAACATGATTAAACCACGACGGAAGGTCCTCGGAGGAGTCTTGCAACTCTACTGGACGGTCAAAGCTAAAGTAACTATCCTCGACACAACAAGTAATCGATAGCAAATTTCGCTAATATGTAAATATTGAACTATTATATGATACAGAAGCACGTGTGAATCGCGCTCAATTTCCTAAGACTTTTTTTATTTCTGACTTCAGTATTATCATTTTATACCAAGTCATGGCTTACTCATGATCGCAACATGAGAAATACTCTCCCCGTTTTATAAAAATAATGTGTATCAAGTTTTAAAATTTGTATTAAAAATAGTACAAATATCAAAATTTGATTTAAACTATTTTTTAGGGCGAAGGGAATATATAACACTAAAGTCTACCATTTCTCTCATTTGACAACATTGATGCACCAACACTTTCAAAGGAAATGTGTTTATTGAACTATTTTTATTACTAAGTGATGGTCCAACAGACGCGGTTTCATGTCCAAATAACGTGCTACCATCGGAACTTCAACTAAACAAAATCCCATAACGAATGTTATGGGAAAAAAGCTGGTGTGCAAAATTGCTTTCTCACGCATTATTCATTCTTAACATATATATCTATAATCACTTCTTTTATTTTACACCAGAATTTATTATATTTTATTACACCGAGCAAAACAAAAACAAGAAACACACCAAAACCCTAACTTACTTCACCATACTGCTATAAAACTCCCATGAAGAAAAACATACACAAATATTCTACTATAACTGCTCTTTGAAGAAAAAGCAATTTAAGCTTGCTTTTTCGCCAGAAAACATATAGGGTTTTTCGGGAGCATAGTCAATCCCGGCGCAGTCTCGGAATCTATGTCTTGGATCTTCATTCCAGATGGCAATTCCCAATCAAAGAAATTCATAAGATTTGCAATCACAATCTCCACAGTTGCAAATGCTAAGTAGGCTCCAGGACAACCTCTTCTTCCAGATCCAAACGGGATGAGTTCAAAATGTTGTCCTTTGATCACATCAATATTACTGTTCAAAAATCTCTCCGGTTTGAACTCATCTGGATCTTCCCACGTTTTCGGATCTCTAGCAATAGCCCACGCGTTGACCAGAACGGCAGTATTTGGTTTGATCTCGAAGTCTCCAATAGTGCAACTCTCGATGGTTTTTCTTGGAAGGAGAAGTGGAGCCGGAATGCAAAGTCGGAGGGTTTCTTTTATCACTGCATTTAAGTAAGGAAGCTCCCGTAGTTTTTCCGCCTCTACTTTGGTTTTGTTTCCAAACAATTGCCTGACTTCAGTTTGTAACCTTTTCATTGTATAAGGGTTTTTCATAAGAGATATCATGGTGTATATGATGGTTGATGCACTTGATTCCGTTGAAGCTATAAATATGTTCTGCAACCAAAGATATTTCATGAACTGATCGGTTCCTATGTTGAGGAATTTTCATTATTTCTAGCTGAAATTGTGAGGTTTGTATTTTTAATTTCTAAAAAGATCGATTATGATGACGCGGTTCAAATTTTAATCTTCAAAGTTCATTACAATCTCTTACTTGACAAACAAGTATATGTTTTGGGACAAAGACATACTATGTATTCCCTTCGTCCTGAAATGATGGTTCAATTTTGATTTTTTTTTTCAGTACAAGTTGAACTGAAAAAAAACATCCAAAATGAACAATCATTTTCATACTGTTATTTTGGGATAGATGGCGATATGGCAGAAACAGGAACAAGGGAAATTTAGTTACCGTGAGCATGGCTTTAATGTGATTCCAAGTGAGTCCAGCGGCCGATGCTTGCTCTTGTTTAAGCTTAATCAACATATCAAGAATGTTATTCTTCATTGATTCAGGCCTTTCTGGATTCAAGTGCTCCTCAATGAGTTCTTGATAGAAGGAATCCAATTCCTTGAAATTCTTCTCAAGACGAGACATAATTCCCCTGAGTGTATCAATCCACCTTAATGATGGAAAATAATCCGACACATAGAAGCTTGCCAACAAGGTCTCAGTATCTCTTAAAATTTGGTGAGCACTTCTTCTCCCTCGTCCTTCTGTGTCCCCTTTTTTGCCAAAAGCGATTCGACATATGATTCTACTCGTTAGGGACACAAATGTCGACCTAAGTTCGATGGTTTCAGATGAAGATGAAAGAGTAGAGATTTGATTCACTAATTGAGCGATTTCGTCCTCATGAATCGGGCGAAAAGATTGTACTTTCTTAAAGCTCAAGAGGTGAATAACGGTTACTTTTTTCATTTCCCTCCAATACTCGCCATAAGGAGCAAAACCCACGTCTTTCCCGTTGTAAGATAGCTTCTGGGTACAAACTAGAGTTGGTCTTCCCGAAAAGGCCATGTCATTGTCTTTTAGGGTTTCTTTTGCCATCTCGGCCGAAGAGACCACCAGCACGGAAAGCGAACCGAGCTTCAATGAAATGAGTGGGCCATATTTTTGGGACAGTCTGAATAGGAACTCTTGAGGGTTTGTAGGACTGAATTGGTGCAAGTTCCCTATCAAAGGGAGCCTTGGAGGACCTGGCGGATCGCGGTATTTTTTTGAGGGTTTCTTGTGGTTTTGAAGAAGAAAGATTGGTACAAGGAAAGAAACAAGCAAAGAAAGGAGAAAAAACCAGCTCGTCATTTTCTGTGGAAGCTAATGATCACTTGAAAGAGTTAAAATTTGCAATGAATTGCATGATTTCTTTGCAAGATCATCTTATTATTTATAGGGGAATTCCCTTTGGAGAATCGATCTGCCATATTTGACTTGCTTTTAGTTTAGAATTGTTGCTAAATATAGTATCATGTTCTTAAAGTCAATGAAGATTAATGTACATATTTTCAACTCCACCATGCTACTCTTTCCAAAGTAGACTTTGGGATACTACGAAAAGGTGCCTGTTATACTCTCTTTTCTCTGGTCAAACAGCTCAAGAGAAAAAAATAAAATAAAAATCAGAGTCTTGCTTTGTAAAATTTGTTTTTTTTCTTATTTCTTCGAATATTTTTTGGAAGAGATAATTTCAGTGTGAGCTTTTGTTTTGGAAACCAAGATTAAAGTTTTTTTTTTTTTTTTTTTTTTGCAGGGGAATACCAAATTTTCAATTTAAGTACAGTGACTGAATGTTTAATTTTCTGCAAGAATTATGGCTTCTCTGTTTTTTTTTTTAAAACCAATAAAAGATTGAGAATTTTGTAAAATTTCCCAGGAGTTCATTTGATCATGATTATACTACCTTCGTAGAAAAAAAAGTAATTTACTTAGTTTAACGAAAATAATACTGCCTCAGTCAAAAAAAAAAAAACCATATTAAATTTTGAGATTTGTACAAGTTTTGGTATAAATTTAAGAACTCAATATGAACTATTTTTTTTGGAACAGAGGGAGTATAACAAAATGGACTATTTTTATGAGCTGATGAAACTAGTAATTCTTAAGGGCTTTTGGAAGGACTCCCTGATTTTGAAATTTAATTATGACTAGCATATTTCTACTAATTACTAATTACTAAACTTCAAGAAGAATAAACCTTTTGCTTTGTCTTTTTATATTCTTCTCCAATTGACCATTAGTCCATTATGTTCCCAATTGTCAGACCGAACATAGGAAGAGTAATAAGACATACAATCTCTACGACCCAAGCTACATTACAATTAACGAAAGTAGATATATCTTTAAAAGAGTAATCCGAAAAAGTGAGATAAGAGTGTATGAAACATTAAAGATACCAAATCACGAATATTACTTGTGTCGCTCTTCCATTCAGTAGGGTCGTTTTTATGCATTTTAGTATTTTAATTTGTTCTCAATGTCTACTAATCCTTCATGATAATTAACATTTCTGCTGGACCCATATATGGATCAGTCTTATCAAACTAAACCCTTGTTACTGCATGTTTTTAGTTCTTTTAAGCCCTATTAATAATCATAATTCTGTGCACTTAGTATCAACTGGGTAGTTAATTTCTTTGTTCCATTTTCTTCTTGTTTTTTTTTTTAATTTTCTATAAAAAAATAGTTTTTCGTTCATTACAAAAAAGGTAAAACACATAAAAACATAACTCTAAAACAGATTCACGAGTGTGCACCACCCCGTCCCTGTTCGGAGCTAATACCTAGCTAATACCACTGACCCTTAAAACGTCTTCATTTTACAAAGTGACAAATTTTGGCGTAAGATGTTGCTTAGAATCAAGATCAATTGACGGAAACTAAAAGCCAAAAGGGGTGAAAGCACAGATTCCGATTGTGGTATAAGTAGTAAAATGACGATGCAACTCTTGAAATGAGTCTAAAGAAGCATTAAAGTATCGTTTTCTGCTTGAAATTAAAGCAATCACTTGTGGTCAGACCTGGCTAGATGAAATTTGGAGGCAAAAGCATCATCAGCTGACATTTATTTGATATACAGCTGCATCATGGACTTGTGCCATTAATTGTAATGATTTGGTAAGGATGATTCTAAAAAAACTACTTTATTATCTATTTTTTGATGAAACAAAATAGACTATTATACAAGGATGGAATAACTAATTGTTGGGACAAAAAAATTGATTCCTCCGTCCCACAAAAATAGTCCAGTTTGATAAATAATCTTGTCCCACAAAAATGGTTTAGTTTCAACAAGTCAAAATTAAATTTAAAGAAAATGACTGAAATATCCTCAAGACTTCTACGGTCATAATAAAAAACTGGTTTTCAACAATTAACCCAATCTAAAATCATTATGCAGTCCCTCATGTGCAGCCGTCGACGCCACCGCCAGTAATAATTAACCCAATTCTTTCTTAGTTTTGTGTTTCCGGGAAGTTGTCGGTGGACACGACGAAGAATTTGTATTTCGGTGCTAAACGACAGAGATTGGATGTCTGTCTGGTGGCCGAGTTATCCCAAGAATGCGATAACGCTGTGGAGAATCCTGATGGCGGAGATAGTCGAAATGGATCTATCATGAAGGAGAAAGAACATCATCATCGGCAGCATTCAGTTATCCTACATGAAACCGGCGATGGTGACCTTCACGATGGTAAAGCCGGCGATGTTTAAGACCTTGACGATGGTGAAGCCGGCGGCAGTGGAATTGGAGCCGTTTCCTAACTTCGGAATGGCGTTGGTTTGTGGACGGCGGCGAGAGATATGGAAAATGCGGTTGCGATTGGCCCTTCATTTTGTTCCGGCAGAGAAGATGAAACCGCGCCGCCACTTAGATGCATTATTTCGCCGTTTATGACGGTCATGACTGCTCACATGTGTGTTTATTTTTCAGATCCCTGTCTTATTTATTCTCTACACCTTTTTAGAGGTGGGGTGTAGTGTGATCGTTTATGTAGTTGCTGAATTGAGCGACGACAGGGAGGTTCTCCAGCGAAGAAGCGGATTTTGTTTTGGTTAGGAATTTGGACAAATTTGAGAAATGATGGGTAGAAATGGAAGTTTAGAGTATAAAATGAGTTGTACATTGATTGAGTTGACCAGAATAAAAAAGTTGTACATTTTGAAACTGGACTATTTTTTTTGGAACGGATGGAGTATCACATTTACCGCTTGTGTGAAAAATCTGAAACCTATCAATAAGTTTTCTTGATCACCCCACTTATTGTGGATTAGTTTTAAGTAGAGGGAAAGCTACACACAAACTAGTTACTCCAATTGGGAATTTTTTTTTTCCTTTCTATTTACTCCTTGAAATTTAAGTTTTGTTTTTAGAAAAGAAGTTTTTGTCCCACCTAAATTAAAAATCTTTTGAGGCTAGGCTGCTAAATTAAACATATTGAAAATCTTACTTCATCACAAATTCAGTGCGGGGCCTGCCCATATTTTATAGATGAAAGTCTAAGTCACTTTGACATGGTATTAGAACTTCGATCTGTGAACTCGTGAATGGATTCTGATTAATTCAACAGTATATTCAGAATTGTGAATCGTATTGTATTTGTGCACTTCTATTGAATTAAGGAATTAATCGAGTTTGAGAGAATGTGTCAGAAAGAATCTCACATTGTCCCGGAGTGAAGCTGAAGTTTATTTCAGAATCACTGCTCAAGAGCTGAAAGACATTTTTTTTTTTAAAAAAAGGTACCTGTATATTAGTAAATTAAGTACCTAATCTAATTACATAAGGCACTATACAAAATTAATGCTGTACTGTACAAAATTAAAACATCTGATCTTTCGTGTGTAGTAATGAACCAAAATGCGACAAGAATATTAAAAAAATCCGAATTAAGTAGTCTGCAGTTTTATGTTGAAATCGACATAATGTACCTCCAACTACATGAAAAGATCAAAACAGACAAAACCAACCGTATGATGCATTCTTCTCATCTCAAGGAAAACTGAGATGATTACAAAACCACGCCAATCATGAATCACATGATGAATTGAGGACTTATGCCATAGTAAGACGTCAAATGTCTGGGAGTTAGACTCACGGGTACAGCAGCTGGATTCGAAGTCAAGACATCTAGAAAATGAAAAAAATAAGGTTCTTGCGAGGTCAATCAACTCTACTTATCTAGCACTATTTGTCAAGACATGGTTATTAATTGGTTGAGTAAATAAGCCAGCCTTGTTTTCTCCAAATTAACTCGTAGTGAAATACTCCTATTTATGGAAACAAATTATGTTTTAAGAGATGAGAACAAAAGAATCAAAGATGTATGTAAAACTACTGTAATAATAATAACATTAAATAGGCCAATATGAATTTATCTCTATTTCAAAAGCTTGGAGACTATTGACGGAAATTGATTGATATCCTGTTTAAAAACTAATAAGATAGAGGTTTTTACGACATCATATTTAAGCAATTGTCACCTTTCAAAGTAACTGTCACCTTTCAATGTAAATTGTCTAATCATCATTACCATGTATATTTGATACATGTATGTATTCTATCTCAAAAATGATTGTTTTAGTTTGGAATTTCATTTTTAATATAATTTGATTTTAAAAAATATAAATTGAATAATTATTTTGGGTTGAAGGGAACGATATTTTCTTACAATGATTGATCTTATCACATGTTGCACGATATTTAGAGACACGAAATCAGATTTCACAGTTCAATAACAGAGACCACATACGCAAGAATCATGCCATTCTCATTTCTCACCAATAAATATTATTGTACCCCATTTTCCTTCTTTACATATTACACATTGTTTCTCTTCCACCATAACTCCAACAAAAAGAGATACCAACTTTTCATCATCTAAAGCCATGGAAATCTTCATCATCTTAGCTTCTTCCTTGTTTCCCCTCCTAATAATTTTCTCTTTTCTTCTCAGAAATAACTCAAAAAAACCTTCCAAAACGCATAAGAATCCACCAGGCCCTCCTGGTCTTCCATTCATCGGAAACCTACACCAATTGGACATTTCATGCCTTCACAAACACTTATGGCAACTTTCAAATAAATATGGCCCTCTAATGTCATTGAAGCTCGGTTCTATACCAACCCTAGTGATTACTTCTCCAAGATTAGCTGAAGAAGTCATGAAGAACCAAGATTTAGTCTTTTGCAGCCGGCCTAAAATGACCGGCCAGCGAAAAATGACATACAACGGTTTAGACATCGCCTTAGCGCCATACAGTCAGGAATGGCGAGAAATGCGAAAAATTTGTGTCCTTCATCTCTTGAGTACCAAAAGAATTCAACAGTTTCGCCCTATTCGCGAAGATGAAACGTCGCGAATGATTGGAAGCATTTTAAAAGAAGCCACATCGAGCAAGGTCACGAATGTTAGCGAGACAATGGTGTCGGTCACGAGCAACATGATATGTAGGATTGGTTTTGGCAAGAGGTTAGATGATGATGAAGGGCAAGAAAGGCGAAGATTGGATGGCCTTTTGAATGAAATGCAAGCTATGCTTTTGGGGTTTTTCTTCTCGGATTATTTTCCTTCTATTGGTTGGATGGATAAATTCAATGGAATGAATTCTCGACTTGAGAATGTGTTCCAAAAGTTTGATTCATTTTATGTAGAACTCATTGATCAGCACCTTGATCCTAATAGGCCAAAGTCCATGGACGGTGACATTATTGATCTCATGCTTCAACTACAACGGAACAAATCAACTTCGTTTGCTGTAACAATGGATCACATCAAAGCTTTGCTCATGGTAAGTCATTTTCATAAGAGATTATATGGTAACTTATGTGGTTCAGTGTCGTATAACAAATTAAACTATTATTCTATCAATTTTTATGGGACGGAAAGAGTACTAAAAGACATATAATTAACATTAGTTACCAAATATTGTGTCGTTGTATGGACCTATTTAGAAGAGATTTTACTGTTTTAGATAGAGAATATTCCAATTTTTTGATATTAAAACAATATATTATTTTGGAACAGAGGAAATAATCAATGTAAACACCCCCAACCCACCAACTCCCACACACATACACTCTCAAGCAATGATTGCAGTTAATTTTATTTTTTTTTACTTTTTGTTAATTTCAATACTCTTGATAATAATTTATTTACGACCTTAATTAGGAACCCCCACTAAGTAGCTAGATTGCTCGAGAAAATGACATGACAGATACACATATTAATTTGTATCCTATGCATGGATATATATATATATATATATATATATATGTATTCAAATGAGATCCAATTTTTTAGTTTGTAATTATTTTCTTGCCCTTTTACTTGGGGACTAACTAAAGTTAAGAATTGGATATCAATGTAGAATGTATTCATAGCCGGGACAGACACGAGTGCAATAACAGTAACTTGGGCAATGACTGCTCTGATGAAAAACCCCAAGGTCATGAAGAAATTGCAAGCAGAAATCAGAGAATTGAAGGGAAAAAGAGAAATATTAGATGAAGAGGATGTTGAAAATCTTCCTTACCTCAATGCAACAGTAAAGGAAACCATGAGATTGTTTCCAGCCGTACCTCTTCTTGTACCAAGAGAAACACTGGAAACATGCAAAATAGATGGATACGAAATTCAACCCAAAACTTTGGTTTATGTAAATGCATGGGGTATTGGAAGAGATCCCGAAGTATGGGAAAATCCAGATGAGTTTTTGCCTGATCGATTTTTGAATAGTGATATTGACGTTAAAGGGCAAGATTTTCAATTAATCCCTTTTGGATCGGGAAGAAGAGGTTGTCCTGGATACGTCATGGGATTATTAACTGTGCATCTTTTACTTGCCAATCTGGTGAACTCGTTTGATTGGGAATTACCTTCTGGGGTGAAAAAAGAAGACATTGATCTCGAAACGATGCCTGGAATCACAATGTGCAAGAAAAATGCCCTAAAACTTGTGGCGAAAATCCCTGCTGGCAAATCTGCACCATGATTTGTTCACTATAGTGTAGCAGAATAATGCCAACATTGATGTTTCATTTTTCAATCCTGTCATTTTTCATCCATTACCTTTTATATCTTACTCATTCTCTGTTCTTCAAAAAAAAAAACGTCCACCTCGAATTTTCAAATTGAAAATTAAAATTAACTGATACATATCTCAAAATTCAATGTAGATGTTTTTTACACAGAGGTAGCATTATGTTTGGTGAAAAAAGTATTGACCAAATTCATCAAATTCAGTTTTTAGCTTTCGGCCACTTTGAACGAAATCTAGTATTGCTTAATTGATGTCTTACGAAAGCATTGTGTTGTCATCTGGGAACTGTTGACCAGGAAGTGGATAGGGTTGCTTCATCATATTTTTAGAGAGCGTAATTTTCTTATCGATTATATAATTACACTGGCGGTGACGAATCTGACCAAACTTATAAGGTTGGATTTGCTCTCACCAGACATATTTTGATAGCGTAACACGATGTTGTAAGAGTAGCACATTCTAGAAGAATTGTTATATAATTGAAAGCTTCACATAGCCTTTTCAGCAATATATATATATATTTATATATAATATAATATAGATATGTGAAGAAGTTATTTCCCTTTTGAACTTTATATTTGAAATTCTGTTGGACAAAATCGACTAAAGTCCAAAAAAGATAAAAATATTAATTGACTAATGTGACAATACTTTATTGATTTTGTGTATTTGAATGTTAGTTTGATTGAAAATATTTGCTGTCTCAATGCGTTTTCCTTCTTGCGGTTGTTGTGAACTTGTGTGGCCTTGGAATTTATATTGAACTAGTTTTGCTGCTGGCAATCTTTTTATGGAACTAAAAATTGGAACATTTGTTTGAATTTTTTTGAGTGTGTCATTTTACATTGAGGCAACGAAAATATATGTAAAAGCGTATTGAAAATATAAAAATTAATTAGTCTAAAATTTAGAAGAAATTTTAAAAAGTAACTTAGTTTTTCTTAAGAGTAAAATGTCCAAATGGTCCTTTACATTTGGACTTACTTAAATTTACGTTCCTAACATTAACATTTCAATATCGTAGTCCCAAACATTATGTTTTCACACTTTTTTGGTCCCATTTTACTGTTTCGACCACTTTTCCGTCAAGTTCGATGTTGACTGGCTGTTGACTTGCCGGAATCAGGGGTATTTTTATCTTTTCACTTAATTTAAATTTTCATTAAAATTTAAATCATTAAAAATATTATAAAATTTAAATTTCATTATTTAATTATTAAAATATTATTTATTATTTTTTTGTTTTAAAAATATTATTTATTAATTTATAATATTATTATAAAATTTTAAAATATACATTATTTTTAAAATTACTTTTTCTTATTTACCATTACCTTGAGTACAAATTAAATAGTAATTATGTTACACTTTTAACCCTAGACACACTATAAAATATCATTAAATATTATAATACAAAAATTATTTTAACTTTTTTCAAACTTAATGTTACTCCGAACCCAAGTAATAAAACTTTTATGACCAAATCACTTTTATCCCGATATTGGACCTTTGGTTTGTAGTAAAAATTAAAATTCATTTTTTTCAAAATCTTCGATTAATTTTTTTTTTTTTTTTTTTGCTTAATTCGATTAAATTTTTTCCCTTTCAGTTATCACTACTGCCCATTTTATTAAAATAATATATAAAAACCATCATATTCTTTCCTCTTCCTCTTTCCCGTCAACACCCAGCCACCACCATCATCCCACCTTCACCAACTCCAAATTTAAGAATCCAATAAGGAAAATAAAATTTCCTCAACTATATCTTTCAACTGAGTAATCAGCCCCACGATCTCCGCTCTTGTCTCACTCGTTGCGCTTAATCTGCTGTTAGTCCCATAGAAAGCGTCCACCAAACGTCAACGTGTCAATCTCCGTCGCCGCTTTCTCCTTCGGTGACTCCTCCTCCGCCACCACAACTCCAGTTCCATACGCGGGCTCCGAAGTGGTTGGCTGGTGAGTGACTTCGATGGAGAGTGGGGGTTGGCTGGCTACGGGACGGGAAAAATGGAAGATGAAAAATGGAAGGGATAGAGGAGGCGGCGGCTCGCAGGTGTTGCGGTGATGGGGGATGAAGGTGGAATGGTGGTGGGTAGACAAATTAAATAATATTTTATAATATTTTTAATGATTTAAATTTTAATAGAAATTTAAATTAATTAAAAAGACAAAAATATCCCTGACTCCAGCAAGTCAACAGCCGGTCAATATCAAGCTTGACGGAAAAGTGGTCAAAACAGTAAAATGAGACCAAAAAAGTGTGAAAACATAATATTTGGGACTATAATATTGAAATGTTAATGTTAGGGACGTAAATTCAAGTAAGTCCAAATGTAAAGGACTATTTGGACATTTTACTCTTTTCTTAAAAAGAATTGGATGGCCCCTACCGACTCGCTGCCTACGCCGACTCGCAACGCACCTATTGCACCTCTGCCACCGCTGCTTGATTGCCACCGCCGTCTTGTTGGCTGATCTGATTGCCGCTCACCACGAAGGCTGACGCTCAACCTGATCTGTCCCCGACGATGCATTAAGATACTTGACGCCAGCTCTCATGGCGGGTGCGGTTGCCACCACTGAGCAGCCCCCAACTTTTGAAAACCTCTTCAAAAAGCCTAATGCTTTGAAGTTTGCAGACCCGTAAAAATCAATCCTATCAAATATATTAATGGGGAATCGTTGCTCCTCATCGGTTTAGTCTTGTTGCAAAATTTTCTTATGAACAGACAAAGATGGAAGATAATATAGTAGAATTTAAGAAAATTGGTTTTAAGGGCGGCTATGATCTTGGATTGATGAACTCCCGCCATGTATGGATTCGCTTTGAGCAAGAAGAGGATTACCAATGCTGTTGGATGAGATCTTTTTAGAATATATGGGAATTTCATATGAGAATACTCAAGTGGACGCCATGCTTCAAAGTTGAGGTGGAGCCTCTGATTGCCAGATTTGTGTTTCCCTCCATAAACTAATGCTTGAATATATGAATCCAAATATAGTATTAATTGTCTATGGCAACAATATTGTCTATGAGCTCAACAGCTATATATTGGCAACAACCCTCACCTTGAATATTACGCGGCCATCAGTAGCTCGCTTTTGTGTTGAAGTTGATTTGACAAGAGACCTCACAAAATCTATTAGAATTAGAAAAAGGGCAAGAAGCATTAGCAGTTTTTCACTTACGAGCATATACCATCTTATTGTTTAGAATGCTACAAGATTGGACACAATAATATTGATTGTAGACAAGGACAACTAGCAAAGGACACGGAAATTGATCTAGCTGCAAGCAAGGAGGTGCTGCAACAATACGGTGAAGGAAAAGTAACTCTCGTAAAACAACCGCCTAAATGACAGTCGAAATTGAAACAACAAAGCATTGGTGACAAAGTTCAATCTGATGGACAGCGAAAAGTTAAGTCCTCTGGTTTATAAGGAAAGGAAAAAGAGATTATGGATATTTCAGACTGCTAGAAGAGTAAAGAAGGAGATGAGAATCCACTTTAGAGGTGCAAATCTTGAAGGAGCATCCTCTAATAGTTAATGCCATAAAAGTACAGCCCTCACAAATGGAAAGCCTTGGATCGCAAATTCAAGAGGTACAAACTCAAGAGGCACAAATGGGGGAGCAAGTCGTGGATTTGACATCGGGGTTGACCGTAAAGGAGAAGAATGATACTATGGTTGATGTCCAGGATAACTCAAACTTGGTTTCCGAATGTCTTGTTGTGAAACCCGTGCCAAAGCCTGGAAATGATGCTGATATAGAAAATATCCATTGCCAAAGCCCAAACAAATTTTCAGCTCTACAAGTAATTGACAATGATGAAACTATTCTGTTGGATGAGAATGATGATGATGTAGAGAACGTCTTCACTGAGGGGCTCATAGAATTAGAAGCTGATTTGAGTAAGAAGGCTGCAACTGATGAAGTTCAAAAAGAGGACAACAATAGCGGTGAGCAAAAACAGTTAGTTCTTTTTGAACCGGTTTTGCATGAAGATGCGATTGAGGAGAATGCTAGTGAGTCTATTAGCAAAGAAGGTGATCCAGATGAGTGCTTACTTATTAGCATATGCAGAGGCGTGCACGCCGAAACAATTAGATACAAAAAAGCAACGTATTAGAAAACATGGAGAATTTTTAAAAAATCGTTGCTCAAGTTGCAAAGGGCGAATAACCTGAATTTATCTCGGTTGTAAGCAACGGAAAAAACCTAGTGCCAATGTGACTCCGAGAATACAACACTCGGAAAAAAATAATTATTGTTAGTTATAGTCTTTTCTGAACTTTTTTAGCCGCTTTGTAAAATGTGGTAAGTTTTATGTACTGCCACTTTCTTTTCTTTAATTCCACATAAATAAAAAGGTTTTTGCACCCACCAAGCACTGCTTGTTTTGCTAAAAAAGAAATAAGAAAAAGAATTGGATGGCCCAACATGAATCGAACACTCAATGTTATCGTAATAATTATTCCTATCCTAATCCCCTATTCATCCCACCCAGAAAGTAACTTATTTATTTCAAACCAAAATGATGTATTTCTAATAGTTTTTGCTATTTTTAAACGAATATCAAAAATTGATATTAATTAAATATATATATATATATATTTAATATGGTGAATCAAAATATAATGGATTATGTAGCATCAAGGTCATAGGCACGCTTAAAAATGTTGACTAAAGTTTGTACGAAAAATACAAAAGTTTCATATGAATGGGTACATTGGAGACAAATAATGAGAAGCTCCTAAAGAAATAATTTGCATAAAACTATTTTTTGGGATAATGGAAATAATTTATTCTTCATAAAAAAATGGTTTCCTTCAAAAAATTTTAAGAGTTATAAACCACAACTATATTAATTTTAACTGTGCAAGTTTATTTTAAGACATTTAATTTTTTTTAAAAAATAAAGGTACACTATATAAAAAAGAAAATAAGGCCATCACAAAATTATCATATTAACAGTAATATTCATGTAAAAAAATTATAAATATGGAAAAGAAAACCGTAAAAACTGAAAATTATGAATATGAGGTGAGAGGCTTAAATGAGAATGCCTTACTTCAGTAGAATAATGATATTTATACGAAAAAGATTTACGAGAAAATATTTATGATGAATAGTGCAGTTTAACTCTAAACTATTCTTAAAGCCATAAATATATAAATCTTAGATGGAAAATGTTAAAAATGGAGTAGATACATAAACAATTGTTTACTTTGCATCTTTTCTTCTCCTTTTTTCCTTATATCATTCAATGTATATATCATTATTTACTTGAATATCCTCAAGTTTACAAGTACCAGACTTAACAAGACCAACTAAAATAGAGACAAAGAAAGTGAAAAATATGACTCTTTTGATTTATGAAATATAATAACAACCTTGTTTCAAAATTCATTTATGAAACCATTGAATCAATCAACGAATAAAAAAATATTGCTTAAGTATGAAAAGGTAATGCCAAGTAAATTGTGCTATGGTTGTTCTTCGGAAAAAAAAGGTTTGAGAGTTATGTTTCAGAAGGCTATGTATATAAAATTCAAAACCATAAATAGCTACAATTATTAAGGTGGATTAATCTTAATTTATTTTACTTTTTATCCGTGAATGAAAGTATTTTCATCTATGTACAAAATAACAAAATTTCAATTATTGAAACTTTTTCTTCCGTAAAAGTACAATTTTCATGAAGGCGGCACCTCAAGAATCATGATGAGAACTAGATTTTGGACCCGTGCGTTGCACGGATAGATAATAGACGGAAAACCATTATAACAAAAATTATATCATGACAAAATTACTACATTATATCATGATAAAATCACTATGGGGATTTTGGTATTTATTTATGATCTCCATTTGGGTTAGAAAATCATAATAATGCAAATCAAATGATTCGATGGAATTAGGGAGTGAAGATAGGATAAGAAATTAATTTCTTTATTTTCCCATCCAAAATAACTTAATTGTCAAAAGCTGCAGAAGAAAAATCATTCAGTGCTAAAGAATATGACAAAGAAGATGAGCACAAATATGCATGAGGAAAGCGCAAAACTGAAACAATTAAAATGTAGTAGCATGACTAATTACAGAAAAGAATGCAACCTTTCATTGAAAATCACAAATACGAAGAACTTCAAATGAAACATACTTATTTCATATGCTTACAACCGGTGGTAGTGTTTCATGTTCATTGTGCGCTGCATCATACGTACAAGGTAATTGGGAGTTGGATACATAAAAAATTATGGAGAAAAACTTAGATATGATGAAACAATTACTGTATACATTTAATACCATAGGTTCAATGACCTGAGATGAGTCGCAAGTAGGATCATCTTCGCACCCTCAAGAAGCAATTTTCCGTGGAGGAGGAATGATTTTGTCGATTTTACATTGACTTACAAAATTAGCAAATGCTATCCAACCGGATTTGTTTACACTGATGAACAACATAACTTCACATTGTATGATAAATTCCCAGTGGAGCAATTCATACCGTTTGAGACTTGAGATCTCCCGTGGGGGAGGGGGTAGGGGTGGAGTAGGAACGGACTCAGTTTCCTTATAAATGTGAAGGTGAGGAGAGGTTGTGAAAATTTGGGATATTTGAGACTTGACTTTGAAATATATTAATTAAGAAAAAGATTTGATGAAGAACGTGGCTTTTGCTAGTGTTTATTATGGTTACGAAATTATTTGCGGTGGATTGATGTCTTACAAAAACGTGCGGGTTTAGTAACCGCCATTTACCATTGATTTTTTTTTTTAGAAAACCATTTACCATTGATTATTGATTAATTAATTAAATAATGTAATTAGAATAGTTACCATGAATTACTTGTACTTTGGCGGGATTTAGAGTAAGGAGAGTGTGCCATGTCAGCTTTTAAAATTGTGTTGGTTTTTCCCATAATAAGATATATAGGTAGATAGATATATAGATAGATAGATAGATTCTAACAAATAGCTACATGCTGAGAGTAGTTTTTTAGTTTGATTAAATGTAGGGGTAGAGCCAGGCACCATAAATATGATGTGGCAAAAGTTTTAAAATTTGTAATGTAACATGCATGCCCCTTAATAGTTTCAATTTCAATGGGACAAAGTGTAATATTATTTTAAAAAATTCTAGATTTTGAAGGGGTAGGAAGCACCCCACCTGAGTAGTATGTAGCTCCGTCCCGGATTAAATGATAGATACAAATACCCTATATAGTTTGCAAAATGACAATGACAACCGTAATCAAGTAAATTTAACAAAGATTTGGACTTATGATTTCTTTGACTAGTCTTATTATGAGTTCTATACATGCAAATGACATGGTTGCTGTGGCATTACATCAACCACCCAAGTTACTTAGTGTCTGTTTGGACGTCAGTTTTGTTTTCATTTTCAACTTGAATGTACAAAATATTTTAAGTGGAAAACATAATGGAAGATGAAAAAACTATTTGGATAGTATTTTAGCAAAAAGTTGTTTAGATAGTAGTTGGAAAAATTTTTTTTGGAATATGTATTGAAATATCAAGTACGAAAAATATCACTAAATAATTAAAAAGTGTTAATTTTAGGTCACTGAAAAAAAAATTCAAAAATGATCACAAACAACGGAAAAGTATCGATTTTGGTCACTATAAAATGATCACTAAAATCATGGAATAAATTCTAAAATTAATATTTTACAGTGACCAAAATCGACACATTTCCATTGTTTAGTGATCATTTTTGAAATTCTTTTTTTTACGGTGACTAAAATTGACACTTTTCGATTGTTTAGTGATATTTTACGTACTTGATATTTCAATACGTATTCCAAAAAACTTTTTCCTAACCACCATCCGATTGAGCCTCGGTTTTTTGACTAGAGTCAAACTGAAATAAAGGTGCAAAGTTTTGGATTTAGTCACTGACTATTTTTAGTTTAGAAAATGGTTACTGCACTAATAAAATGTTTCAAATTTGATTTTAAAATGTAAATCAGAAAGTTGTTTGGACGTCAGTTTGGTTTACATTGGATTTTGTAAAATACAAAATGAGTTGAAAATGCAAAATGAGTGGACTGATAATTATAATAAAATTTATTTTATTATAATCTTCTAGTCCTAAATTGGTTATATTTTAGTGATTATTAATGGATTTTGTTATGACTTTGTTGTTAGGTACCAAAAAGTGAAAAGATGGACCATTTTGGATTTTTACGACCCTTTTACAAAGTTTTATGGAGTTAAAAGATGAAGAAAATTTCAGCTGCAAAGAATACACACAAATGGGTTCCTAGAAAATTCTTTTTACCAAGTCCACCATCCAAATCTTGATGTCATATTCAGTTGTAGAGAATCATGCAAACAAATACTGATTTAGTGGAAAACTAGGATGAGATTTGATTTGGATTTTACTCCCATTTCTTTGGGATTTTTGTTCAGCCATTATGCACTATAAATAGTGGTCCCCTCAATTGATAAAAACACAACACCCCCATAGCAAGCATTAGGCTGCTACCACTTTTCTCCATTTTTGCCACCATTTTTATTTTGTTTTATTTTATTTTAAACCTTCAAAGATGTTTCTAGTCACAATGAGTGGCTAGTTTTCTTCATTTGGTTCAAGGATTTTTATTCTTTTATATTATATGTGAGACTACAAGTTTCACTTTATTTTTTTCTACTTTTAATTCAAGTAATTGTTGATTTTAATTTCTTTTTATGAGAGTAGATACTTGATTAATCCGACAATTTAATCAAGTATTTTCTTCCTGCTGCTACCAAATTGTTTATGCTTCGCTATCGTCTTAAACATTTGGCACTAAGTAGCACATTAGCAGATTATGCATGTTGGTAGTGACACGTTGAATGTGCATAACAAGTCTAACTAGGAGATCAACAAAAATATTTTAATTACAGCTATCTCAATTATTTTAGTTTTTGGTTCAACTAAATTTTCAAAGTTTTTATTGCTAGTATAATTTAACATGGAACGCTATCGTCCCCGGCTTGGTCAAATATTTTTGGAAAATATAAGGTTTTTTTACGGCTATCCTATTAAGCCTACGGTTGAATGCTTGAGTGGTAGAAAAATAATCTTTTTAGTCAATGATCTATAATATAACTGAATTC